AACATCATTACGCTAATTTGTCCGGAGTCGAACTTGACTCGCCAAATCGGCAAATTTCAAGCGAAGGTGAAATGCGACACGATCACGTGCAGCAGTTTATCATGTCATGTGGCATGTTTTGGTGTCAGCTAATTCCACATACACACACAAACCACCATATTCAAACAGGTTTAAATGAGGTGGTGAACATCACTGAACGCGCGTGTCGGGTGATGCGAATGGCAAAATGGTAAGGTGTATTTTTTATTTCATTCGATGTTTGTGCGTGACCATTTTGGTGATGTTGCTTAAGCAGTCGTGTGAATAGAGCAAAAGTAAGAACGGAACAGTTTTCACCATCTATTTCATGATAATATTTGTCTCGTTGGCGTCCCCCTCAGCTCCTCATTAAAATTTCGAACTTAGATCTACATTTTTCTGTTTTCCAGACAGAAGTTGATTTGGTTAATTTTTTGACCAGCCGATGTAAGTGTATTATGCAAGGTAGAAATTGATGTACACATATATTTGCTGAACAAATACAGGTTTAGTGCTGATTTCTTGGGAGATGCTAATATAGTGAATACAACTGTGTCAAAAAATAGAGCCGTCAGAAGCCATGGGTTTGTATCTAGACGATGTTTGGAGCCTAAAATGTCTCAGCGGCCTGCCTGCAACTCCAAGATGTCACCCTCGGAGGAGACGCCGAGGATGTGGCCGGGTCGGGGAGCTGCGACGGTGAAGCGCGAGGTGTCTGTGGCACCAGGGAGGTAATTCATCTTTGGGAGACAGCTTTTTGGTCGACGCTTTGAGGTAACAACGAAGGCGGTGTTGTCGGCTGGCGACGTGACCAGGCGCGGTCGCTCGTGGCCGCTCGAACTTGTCGTAGCTGGCAGGCCGACAAAGATGAGTTCAGGCGAGGGGAGCTGAAAGACCAGAGGTGGTATTCTGGGTGTTTGCGATGGCATTACAATCAGAGGTAGATGCGGGCTTTTACGAAGGCGGTCGACAACCTCGGTGATGAGCTAAAACGAGTGAATTAGACTGATGATAGTCAAATTTGTTAGAACGGGTTTAGTTCAAAGCGTCTAATCATGTCCATGATCGTTTATTGGCCCCCAATAACCGTCAACCTGTCACGAGTTTACACAGGATGATCCTAAATACACCAACACACAAGCATATGATGAAATGCCTTAAACAAAAATAAACATTGCCCCAAAATCGTGTCATGCTCACTCGTAGTGCAAGCATTCATGTTCATCAATTAATATCAGCTTGTGTGATTTGAGTGGTTTGACAGCAGAAAAATTCACAGGCCACATAACACGATAAAATGCTGCACGTGATTGTGTCGCATTTCACCTTCGCTTGAAATTTGCCGATTTGGCGAGTCAAGTTCGACTCCGGACAAATTAGCGTAATGATGTTCAAGATTAACGGTTAATTGAGATGCAGAGTTCCCTCAATCCCATTCCTATACTTAACTTTGAGACATCCAGATGATCTGAGTGTAGACAAGTAAAATCATGAATGGATCCATTGCAATCAGATTCACATTGCTCTTCCTCAGGAACCGTGGTGAATTCACTGTTTATCGTAGACGCTGGTGCACCTCAGTGTTGCAGATCGACGTTTAGAGGCAGTTTGAACCAACGCCGACTTGTTCGCGCATCATGTTCGGTACTAGGATTTGCCGAATTGAATGCGCTCACGTCATTGTTATCGCACCTGAACTCGTAAATTATGCGATGTCTAGTGTGTGCGTGCACCACATCAACGCAACTCGGCCCTCCACTGTAAACCGCACACACACTGAGAACTCTCCCCAAGCCTCGCACTGGGTGCAGTTACTGGCAGCACAAGTGCGTGGATTAGCGTGAACATTGAGTGAAGCAGTGACGTGTGTCCATAGAACAACTTGTCCATATTTTGTGAGGTGACACACGGACGTCACTGCCTCAAGCGAAGGTAATTGGATGCATTGCCGAGGTGACAGTTGTTAGGGTGGCTGAAGCCGGTCTTGCGTGCAGCAAAGGCGCATTTGAGGAGCAGGGATTGATCGCTGAGTTGGGTTGTGCAGGAGTTGTACAAAAAGACGAGAGTTTAATGCGGTGGCGCTGTTGGACATTGTGTCCAGTTCTTGGTTTAAACACAACTAAAGTCCGACGAGGCTTCGCTTAGGGACCTCAACTCACAACCTCAGATGTACAAACCTTTTAAACTGTGAGATGCTGTTTAACGGGTAGGTATAATTTGTCGAACACTTTTAAAATTACAACAGCTTTTATTACTTGAGCATCTTGATGGTGGTAATATCATCAGTTTCCATAGCGAATTCCGATGTTTTAATAAACGCACAGGCGATTTCGAAATCACGAAGGGGTACTACAAATGAAATTGCTTAGCTGGAGATTCGCTTCTTTTTAGTAAGTGCATAACTTGTTTTAAGTTCCGATATGCACAAGATTCGAATCCACACACACACACACATCTGCACGCTACATCGAACCGAAAATAACCCTGTGGAACAATGGCGGTGCCGAGTTACAAAAAGAATAGCCAAAAAATCCACGACATCCAGAGAAGGGGCACAAAGCTAGTTTAACAAAACCGTGAATCTGGCACATCAGCAGCAACGAATTTTATTTAGGCTCTAAATCATGGTTAAATGCGTACTTTGTGACGGCGTGGAAAACTTGATGACTTTGAAAAGGGGTCAGTCAAGACGAGCGCAGATGGTACCTCGTTAACTCATTTGAAGTCCTTCCTGCGTTGCCTCTGTTCCAATTTTCAGGAAACTAGAATCCGTCCTATATCCAGAACGCTTGGTTTTTTAGAGTTTACATAAACTAATTTAATCATGTACACTCTGATATTGCTGAAAGCTATCATAAGGTTCACAAGAGTTCACATTCTAGATGCAAACAGAAATGAGCTCGGAGCAAAGCCTGGTTTTGATACGATGTTAATTTGATCGATTTTTCCTGCCTACTTGCTAACTGTGTAGCTACTCAGTTGTGCTCAAGTTCCAATTTTGAAAATTGCAAAATTTAGCCAAATATTTAATTAAAAACCGAGGCTGCAAGTTTATTTGAAGTCCCTGACAACTGGCCAAATATTCGTATCTAGAAATGGCATCCACATTGGCGATTAGAGTCATGAAGTATTACAAGATAAAATCTTTCATATCAGTATTTAATTTGGGTTTATTTTAAGGCTGCATATTTTCAAAATAAAAACCGCTTCATAATCAAGTCAAACGAGAACATGGCAGCCCACTCGAGCGAATTCAGAGATGCATAATTTTTCTACAATCCAGGTATTACTTCACTGTGAAAGGCGTGGTCCAAGAAACAGCGTGGCCTTTCTAACAACGCGACAGACCACAAAATCTCCACATCTGATTGGTTGCTTTGATTAGAGCTCATGAGCTTACCGTGGTCATCATATCCTCCCCTGTAGGCATGGAGGGTGATATTCTGCGCACCATGTCGTTGCAACTTGCATCGTAGGCGGCCACTGTTGATGGTGGTGGCGGTTGAGCAAGGGATATTCCCTCTATCCCCGACAGAAGGTACTCAGCCTCACCGCCAACTGCAGGAGGTTGGTGCAACGGAGAGGGTAGATGCAATGGCCACGTGGGGGGGCTGCTAGAAGTGCCAATGAAGGGTGCGCTGGAGATTCGGTCAGACGGACTTTCAGCGGAGACGTAACAGGTGCTGGCTATTGGCGAGGCTCTGGCCTCTGAAAGACAGCAAATCCCATCGATAAAGCTGCGGAAACCCACTTACAGGTTGAATTCACAGACAATGGAGGCCTCATTCGCGCACTAGCCATTCGCGATTCCAGCTGGCGTTAAATAATTCACTCCATGGAGCAGGACGAACCGAAATGAACCACGAGACCTCTCGTTGTCAATGGAGACTGGGGAAAGGAACCAGTATCTCACGGTTACGAAATCATCTCTAGTTTAGCTAAATCGTTGTCTAGGGATCCCTTTGGAGCAAGCATTAAGACAGGGACACATAAAGCAAATGTACCAGGGGAGACTTGTAATTCTGAAGAAGTGAAACGAAAACATGCAAATATAATGTTAACGCATGGGAAAAAGTTCATGCATGGGAGGGTTTTTATCCATTTCCAAACCAAGAATACCGAAATGGACTAAATAGATTTTAATAGTAGCCTGAATGTCCACTTCGTCTAGTTTATTACAGATTAAGCTTCCCAGGAACATGCTTTTTTTAAATTTGACAATCATGTCTTTCTCCTATCATTTTTTTGAACATGCGTTGCATTCAAATTGGCCTCCTTCTTACGATTGGCTCATCCATCTTGGAATGTACTTTTGCTCTGAATTGCACTTCTTGTGAATCGTGTTTATTCACATCCCTTAATCCGGTCGATCCACCTCCGAAACTGGGTTCCCCTTTTCGCAGCAGGCCGTCAGCGGCGCGGATCCTCAACTCCCCCCTCATTCACACTATCTTAGATTATTCTCACACATAGGTCTCGATGTTACCGCGTGTATGACTCACACATCCGAGACATAAATTCACACGTGCAAACCCCACACACGACATAACGATACCAACGTGGTTGATCTTTGAAGTAAACGGTTGTGTCCACGTCGTCGCTGGTCCTTTTTTCTTCATCGCGGGTATTGGGGAAACGTGATTGGACCAGCGCTAATTGCGTGGCTCAAGACCACATGCTGGGGCCCACAACACACCCAAGACCGTCTACGTCATAAAAGAGAGGGGGGAATATGGACACGTGATCGGCCTTTGGCTAATAGCAAAGTTCTCTTCCCGAGATCTTGTCATGTCCACGGTCAAGCAGGCGATGACTCATCCGGGGGGGACAATTAGAGACGCGAAGTCTTCGATTGGTTACACTCTAGACTTCGTGTCTGTTAACTGGTCACATCATGGCGGGATCCTTCAACTCGACTTTCTTTAGATCGCTCGATTTTATGGTCTTTATCCACTTTAAGCATGACAGAGAAATGTGGCACCAAATGGATTTTTTAAAATGTGATTAGCTATGCACACCGCTAGCACCTTAAGCCGAAAACTTTGATATCCTACTTTTCGGGTGTGAATGGTTTAGACGAAGCGCTACGGCACGTGATTTCGCACTGTTTGCAGACTCGCTGCATAAATCAACTGTCAAATCAAAGTAGCTCCGCTTTTTTAACACAAAACGACAGAACTGCGAGAAGAAAACGAGGCTTGCACAACTGTGTGTGTGTGATAAACGCATCCACCACTTGTTATTTGGCACACCGCATTTAGCCTGGGCGTCTGCATACGCAGGGAAAATTAAGGGTTCCTTCAAGACTCGAAATTTGTCGAGCGAATCGGCTTTCCGGTTGCAATGCTAAGGCATCAGCGTAAACGCACATTTGTGTTACAGCTCCTGGTTTCAGTCACTTATGTCTGTCTCCGCGTTCTGATTCGACGCAAACTAACCAATCAGCAATAAATGCAGCCCTTCCACGGCAGTTCAACATTTAAAAATGCCTACATTTAGCCATGCAGACATGGGTAGGTACTGACTTATACTACATTTTGCTGTTTCTATCAAAGAAATCAGTAACAATTACTAATGAAAGCTCAAAGTATCCAATCTCATGTATGTACACTTCTAATCAACTGATAAACCGATGCTATGGCGGCGATACACAAATGATCATCATCAAAGCTGCAAACGGCATCCATGAGGCAACAAAGCCAAAAGTTGTTTGCGTGTGTGTGCATGTATGCAGTTGCGGTGAGGGCCACACACCAAAACACCACAAACAACCAACCAATAGGAGACAAGGTCTTGGCGTGTGGTCGCGTAAACACAGTAAGCTCAAAGAATCAGCGGTTCTAGCAAACCAAAGGTGACGGCGACACAACAGGTTAGCGGTTAGAAGGCAATCAAGCAATTAAACCAATGAAACAAGAAGCGAACCCTTGCACTTGATTAGGCTGGCCACAGATTTGCCTTTTTAGGTGGCAGAGGGGTGTGAGGGTCAACTCTTACCAGGGATTTTAGGGGACCAAGTTAGAGGAGTTTCGTCATTGGCAAAAAATATGTTTTCTTCAATTCCACACCTTTGTACATCTCTCCGACTGATAGCTGAAAAAGTATACATAGTGACGTGAAAGCTTCACAGAGGTTGGATCTGTTTTGCTTGATTTGGAGCCTGCAACATTTATTAAACTCCTCTCCATGTCAAAATGTATTGTGATGTACTATTTTAGAATCGCCACTCTGATTGGCGGATTCAGCTTTCGCTTGAACTATCACGTTACCAAGTGGAGGGTTGGGAGGGGACAGCTAACGGCCATTTCCATTTCCCTCTCGCACTCAAGCTGACGCCTTCAGAGGCTGTTGGGGTGTTACTCACTTACCGAGGGGTATGTGTTCAGCCGTCTGCATTACCGGAGAATCACGAGGACTAATGGAGTTGGCCAGATTCTGCGCTGGCGAGAACAAGATCTTCCTTTCTGCGCTACTGCTGCCTCCAACTACAACGGCGTGTGCTGAGACTGGCCTGCCCGAGGTTACGGCCGGTGGAGCAAAGGGATTCTGTTGATACTGGAAAACTGGAGGGGTGATTTGCTGCGCAGGTTGATCAGTGAATTTCCCACCTCTGCTACAGAGAAGAATGGGAATGTGGACCAAATTGTGTATTCCACAAAAACCATCCAAGTTTTTATACCACGTCGCCTCTGAACCACGTCACAATGAATCCCAAGCCCTGAGTCATATTGATTGCTGTTCTCGTTTCTGTTTCCTTGCTGTTTGAGTGCACCCTTCCATGTTAAAAACCGATTACAAGCCGTCAGGAGTCACGATGAGCACCGAACTACGTGCTCAGAGCTGTAACATTTTTCTGTGGTCGTTTACATGTTCGTAGCTCTGACCTCATTCGGCATGGCCTTAATATTCAATTTTCCGCCACGTATTTGTTTTAATGACCTCATGCATTCATTGGACGACAAATTAGAATCCTGAATACAATGTTAGCGGCACATTTTTCCACGTAAGGCAACTGCCCATTACTCTTAACGCGGACATTTCCTCGGATTATTCAACTGTGGAATCCCAAGTTCTTGATCTGTAGGTCTGTCAGTTATAACACTTTTCCCTATATCCAAAACTGTTACTGTTATCTTGCTAGCAAACAATCACAAGTTGTAGATTTGTTTAGGGGATTGGGAGCAGTGCAACAAGAGATCTAAATTGCATTAACAACAGATAAACCAAAAGTATTCAATCAACTCCTTGTTAAGAACCAATCACAAGTCAGCGGTAATTTAAATGAGTGTGTGCAGAGGAAAATTCACCTGCTGACACAAAGGATGCGATCGTTCAAGCTCACATTCGCTCAAAGTGAATATTTCAAATTTAACCAAATAGAATCCTGTGTCAGAATAGCCATACGAAACGACTTACAGCAAGTTTTTGTACGGTGGAACGGGGTAGAATATGTAGTCAATCTCCGGTTTAATTGTTCGCAGACCATCCCGCCTAATTTGGGCAAGCAGTAATTCTACTGTTGTCTTAAGGGCCTGCAGCACCTCCTGCAAAATTCCACGCCTCCCTGAACTTGTTTCCCAGCTTTCGAGCTAAAAAAAAGCAGATAACAAACCACCTGTTAGATGATGCCTGAATCGACGAAACTACAGTCGTTGAGGCGATAAACGAGCTATGTGTTTTCGGCATTTAAGCTAAGGCGCTTGTGTGTGACTTACAGATTTATCGAAATGGGGCTAACTCAGTGACTCCATGGTAGATAGAATGATCACAACAAAGTTAACGATTGGCTGATGTCATCTATTCAAAAGGCCCAAGTGCATAACCTGTTTGCCACGACAGGTAATGCCGTTACATAGCTAATGAACTAGGAATATTGGGTCTTCAAAATAAACACTTGCTAGGCGCAGTCACTATTCCATAATGTTCGAAAACTTCGTGGTGTTTCATACGGTAAGTGTGCCGTGTTCATTAACATCGATAACTACGCACCAGAAGGATGATGGTTCAAAGTGCACCACATACATGCACACAATGTAATCAAACAAAATCACAAGTGTTATTGGTTGGTTCGTTCAAATCACATACAAGGGTGGTTCATTTGAAAAAAAACGCGGGATTGTACCCAGGCGCCAACTTTAAGGTCAAGTGAATCTACCATTAACGCGGGAATAGTTATGGCTATGGTTAGGGCTCGTGAAAATTCCACATGACTATCTAGGGACTAGAAAATGTGTGGAGTGAGATGCTGAACCAATGGATAGGGTTCGTTGATTCACCACCGAAAATGATGATGATGATGATGAGACGGCCTGGTGCAAAAAACCTACCCTCTGCGACACGGTCCCCAAAGCGAAGTCATTAAGTTTGAGACCACCGCCTCGAAGCGGGCAGCTGAAGCACAAACGCACACCTTTGCCGAGTCGTCTGCGTCGATAGATGTGCATTCCTTCCAGACTGTTGACCTGGTCCGCGGAAGTAGACCGAGAGACGTATTCCGCGGCCATGGCGGGCAGTTGGGCCTGGAAACCGATGAAGACGGCTGCGCAAGATGCTGATTGCATCAACAAAGCCTCCAGTTTGAGCATTTCTTGTGGATCATGTAGAACAGCTCTGAGGGGTCGATTGGGCGATGGCGGGGGTGGCGGCGGCTGAGTGCCTCGCGAGGCTGCTGATTTGTCGGTGATCTTCACTATGCGCACAACGAAACGATCTTTTGCTTGAGCGCAAAACCGCTAAAAATGCAGGTGTAAGAGGCGACACTCCAGCTTAGGCATTAAAATACAGAGCTCGCGACCGTTGCAACTCTCATGTACCTTGTATTTTGCATAAGTCATCTCTAGGCATATGTTGCAGCTAAGAGTTCCGACATTATTTACTAAGATCACACAAACAGCGGTTCTTTGTGGTTGCATTGTGATGCTGTGAGCCTCAACACAACAACCTTCCAGCAACACGACCATCAAATGATATTAACACGCCCCACTGTGGCACACAGTGGATCATTACTCTGGTTGTAACAAAACTTCAGCGTTTAACGCAAGGTTAAATAGTAATTAGCTCAAAAGAAACCTGGGGAATGAAACATGGTTTTGCGTGCTGTTTGCCGATGACGTGCTGCTGGAAATCACTTTACCCACACATAGATCGTCAAGCACGACCTCTAGCACAGACGACCAATCGAAGCCACGACGTCACAGACCTATCATAATGAACGTTGACCTCAAGCCTCAAGGTCTGGTTTTTCTGACATCGCAACATCCAAATAGTTCAAAGACTCAATAGGCATTTTGCCTTTCAATGAGACAATCATTCTTTGCCAATTTCCTGACGCAAGACGACCTCAGATTTTGACTGGAATTTGAAGAACCAAAGGTTGAGTTTGTTGTGAGCATGTTCCCTCAGCCGTTGCATCTGGTAAAATTGAATCTCACGGATACCTTACGTATCCAAGTACTACAGAATTTTCAATTACCCCTTGTAGTATTACCGGTATCAAAATCCACGACACACCGATATCATACACACGCGCATGTTGGTCCTCGTGCTGATTCACCTTCAACGCTGAAGTTTCCACTTGAGCAAATGTGCTCTTCAGCAGCGAATCAAACCAAGGTCTTACACGGACCACCCAGGAACCGTGGAACGTGCACGACGACTTTGCATCGTGTAAACACACCTGCATGCTTGATTTATGGACTGGACTCTACCTTCATTGCACACACACGCAGAATAGGAGCCGGCGGTTTGGTGGGTTCGCTTTGCTAGCGGCAACTTTAATTACTGTCTGGAAGGGTCATTTCAACCAATGAGTGCTCCAAGAAGCACCGATTCGTCGTCCACACGACCTTCAAGCATTCTTGGTCAGAGAGAGTACTCGAGTTGATTAAACACATGCTTGGATTGCAAGAAGAGGACTCACTGTGTGTTGAGGATTTCTCAGGAGTCCATCAGACATCGGTGGAACTGGACTCGAACTAGCTGATGATGAGTAGCCGAATTCGAGGGTGTAGGATTTTGAGAGGTCGCCTCCGTTGTGGGGAAGGGTGTGGTATTGAGTTGGAGAGTTCCGCATTGCCATGGATCTACAAGTCACAGAAAGCAGTGCAGAAGTTAAACTACTGCTCCCATTTACAACCGGACATGTTTTTGGCAGAAAGCCTGTGGTAACTATGTGGCATCTCATAGAAGTTTGGAGTATATATATCCTGCACTCATGTTTATTAATTGGCACATTCTTAGTAGACTTTGCATAAAAAAACACTTATTTTTTTCAGCTTGCAATGGCGCCAACTTTGTTTAAATTGGCAAATCTTTTCTCTAGTACATGTTCTTTCCTAAACCCGACAAATTACCCGCCTACAAGTCCAAAAAAGTTAAAAGTATAAAATTTAATTAAAACTGTCTTTTAGTGATATCATAAAAGCGGCATTAGCCTGATAACTATGTAAATATGCCCCATGAAATTTATTCCATCAACTGCGAAGACTGCTGACGTGAGCTAGTAGCGTCATGATCACCGGTAAATCATGAAACTGTACTTTTTAGCATACCGAGACGTGCAACTCTCACTCGACTGTACTCCCACTTCATACGCAGCGATGAAGCTCTACTTACGTAATATAGAGCTACAACCTGTCGAAATTACTCTTTGAAGTGTGTGATGTGAGTGAATTTTCACAGACCTTTCCACTAGGGTATGTTTATTCCATGTGCCACGATTTTGTTTAAAAGACAAAGTGCTAGAGACTGACAGACATCAGAATCATTAGTCTGTCTGTCTAAATTGGCACGCTCAATCACACCTGTCACACATCTAACAGATGTCTTTCTCATCGTCACAAAGAGGCAATACCTGAGTTTCAGACCACCGTCTTGTCACAATACCTTTTTTTTAAATTTTTCAAATCGCATTTTTGCTTGTTATGTGTGAAGCATTTCATGGTGGCAGGGATGGTGAGGAGAGCGAGAGCGCGCGAGATTCGATTTATTTCGGCCGGCGTATTAACTCACCCGAGCATTGCGTGTTGAGATCAAACGCAGCGGCATCGTTTGGCACTCAGCGTACAAATTTCACAAAAGCAATACAACTTTTTCGAGGGTTTATTACCGTCCCCTGCTGTTACTATCAGGAATGATGATGGTGATGATGGTGGCAAAAAAAGGAGCCAACAGGCAAAAAAAGTGCGATGCATTATGTTTAATTCTTGTTGACATGAGCAGTTTTATTGAAGTGTGCATACAAGTAGCGTTGAATAGCCGTGGTTACAGCACCACGTAAACTTGTTCAGGTGAAAACAGTGCATGCGAGGGGTGTGCAGAGGGCCTTGAAACTACGTAAAAATGCAAATGGTAGCGGCAAAGAAACAGCTTTTGTGCTAGTCTCATAAACACACCTTGGTTGAAGCTAAATTGCTAAAACACGCGCCAAAGTGATTCACACCTAAGTCACCACTGTAATTTGCCCCAAGTAGACCTCGGAGGAGTTGTGAGCCATGGACGAGGCAGGTAAAACGCATATACGACCGAGTCCGGAGTTCCTTACAGAGGTTATTTGAAACAAAGTAAGTCAGCCATTGAGCAGCGCCGTCATAAACCAATTTTTTTGCAGATCAATTGTCATTCGTTTAGTGGAGGATGTTGAAAATGGGGGAATGACAAACGTCTTCCAGTTGGCTAAATTTATCATAAAATTAAAAAGAAATGCGTATTTGGTACCCCCCTTGGATTAGAATTTAGGAAATCGGGCAGCTGAGTGAAGCTGAAACAATCGACAACAGACCAATTTCAAAAACTCTGGTTTATGAAAATGCGGCCTCACGAAATCACGTGGCAGTCTGTGACATTAGGTCATCACCAAATCCAGTTCCCATGTCGATTTGTCGAATCTTGTAACGGTAAAGTGTGTCCAAATACTTTAGAATTTCGCAAACGTAGCTTAGTGACAACGAGTGCCGGAAAACTCACAGGCTAAAACTTTGGGGCTGACCAATTTAGCCAGCGATCACTGCTACTATATTGCTTTCCCTCACATTAAATCGGATCAAATTGTGGTTTTGGATGAACCCATTGAAAAGAACAAAAGCGTGTTTATTGTATCTTTGAATGCCGAGAACAGGGTAACGGCATTCCACGCGAACCGTCCGTTCCTCATTGGCAAATTAAACCACACACAAGCATTATTAAATTGTGCTGTAATCTGCGATTTCCTAATCGCACGTGCATTTATGGTCAAGTAAGTACGTTAAAGGTTTCCATTTAATTGCCATTTTAAACATAATTTTTGGCTTCCGCAGTTGGTTTTGTGCGTACATTTTTAATGGTGTATGATCAAAGCAAAAAACAAGTTAGCCACGTTAAAAAAAATAACCAAAAGCGTTTAAGATTCACGTCGAAAGGTCCTGCCAAGTGGCACTCACCTTCAGATGCCAAACGTCGATAGTCCAGTTCAGACTGGTATTTAATCAGATCGGTGCCAACAGATAAATTGATAAAATTCCATACAGTCCGAGTACGTTATAGACCGAGAGCATAGATACACGAGCGTTTAAGCTGCAACGTCAAGGCCATTGCCATACGATTGGTAATTTAAGAACCAATAGCGATTGCGCGTGCATTTATTGGTTGAATGTTTGCAGAAAGAATCCAACAATAGGCTTCATGGTGCCAATCAGATTAAACGGCATTTTGATATGGAAAACACGTCGACATCACCATTAGTGTTTAAATAAAAAGGGACATTGGAAGGTTTATTGCTTAGCGTCTGTCTTTTTAAACACCTTTGTTGAAGTTGTTACTGTGGTTTGTCAGCAGTCTTGGCAACAGTTTGAATATTACTCCAAAATCATTGAATTACTTTAAAATTAGTCGCTTAAAACCGCCCTCATTAACCAAGGAAATTACTTTTATTGGGTACTTGGCTGCTCTACGCTGGCTTTAACACACTAGCCGTGCTCGAACACAAACACGCCTTCCAGAAAGTTAGAGTCAATCAGAATTTTCGTCATTTTGTAGACGTCTGCAAAATTTGACCTTAGAAATAACCTAGAGATTTTAAGGATCAAAATTCTGCGGTTGCTTTACAGTTAAATGTGAGGTTTTAAAAACAGCTAACAGGACACATGCAGACTCCCCCATAACTGATCGGTATCACCTTGTATCAAAGTGATGAAATTTGCCTCATCACATGAAAATGAGCTTGTGAACTGAAAATGATCGGATTGGTCGAACTAGACTAGTTTAAATCGGTAGGTGTCCTCTAAATGACTGCGGATGGCCATCGTTGAATTAGCTTGTATCTCAAATGAAACCACTAAAACTTCAGTTGGCTTAGACAAAGTGAATAAAGGAAGCAAGTTACTAATGTTAGTATTCTTTTAAATGCAACTGTTAATCACTTTGACTGTTTCCAGATGGCTTGGAAGCATGGCCATTGTAGTAGCTCGCTGCAAGAGGGGAATTTTTTGCCGTTGAACAAAGTGCAAATTCACCACGAGACCTTGGAACACGTCCAAATACGCCTTATGTTTATCACTATTAATTAAAATGCTTAGAGCAACGTTCTTTAATCGAGTCAATGTTTTTTTTAATGTTACGGGATTGGTTTTTATGATGACGCAATCGTGAAGCCAGCCACACTAATGAGCGCGCTTCTCCCCTTCAAAACGAGCCTACCAGCTTCGTCTAAGGGGCTTACAAGAAGTAAAAACACCAACCACAAACAAATTTGGGGTATAATTGTTGAAAATAACTAGACGGTTTTCCCAAGATATCAGCAACGCTCAGTGCGCAGTGTGAGGAGCAACACGGTTTAAATTACCATTATTTAAGTGGCTGCTTTGATGTGAATTTTTGAAATGGAATAACTGCAAAATAATTCTTCCACTACAGTTTATTCACCGACTAAGCAAAATATTAATTGCATTTTATAAAAAAAGTAGCGTGAAACTAGTCAGCACACATCCCGATTGTCATGGAAAGTCTGTCCACGAAGTAGCAAGCGTGTCGACTTTAAACAATACTTATTTACAAATCAGCAGTTCCGCCGATTTCTATTGCAACCTCAAATTCAGTGTCGGCATCTAGGTGTGCCCAACGTTCGATGTTTTATGAACGCACGATGGGATTTCAGATCGTCTTTTGCAACTCTACCAGGACATTCCCGACATGAATTGAAGTCCATTTATAAAAATCTGTACCATCAAATCCTTCGTCTTGCAATTTCTCGGGTTTCGGCCTCTTCTCGACGTCGTTGGAACCGCCAGGAGCAGACACTGACGCCCTAGGTCAGATCAAATATACAGTACTTGTAAACCAGTGGCTAATTCCTCTAACACGAGAGGAACGAAGAAGTCAACCTCTAGATAGTTCATAGATCAGACAATTTTGTAAGCAAAACCGGTTTAATTCACCTCTAATTGCTCTGAGACGAGCTATCCCAAACAAAAACATCAATTAGCGTGTCGTGTGAGCAACAAGTAAGCTTGAAATACAAAATTGCTTAGGTGGACGCTCTTGCCGTGCCGTTCACTTAGTGGGCAAATTTCAAGCAGCCTAACAGTGAAGAACCAAAAGGTACACATGAACAACACCTTAAATGTTACATTAGGCGACAGCAAAACTTTCCTGTCTGATATTTATAGGTGGCAAAAGCATGCATTTCAACTTGGTCGATTTTTTTACTCACAACTATGTTATTAAACGACTGTTATCTAAATGCATCAACATGGCCTTGAGAAAGGTTTGTTTAAATTAAGGCGTATTCAAGGTCAATATTAAAACGGGAAATTTACATTCTCATCAGATTAAATAAAAAGTAAGTAAGCGTTGTAACTGCATCAAAAAGAACTCAAGATGTTTTTTCCGATCTTGCTTCAGCTACTAGAGTGGTAAAACAGTGGTTTAGTTGACTTCAAAGTGGTAACTCTAACCTAAACGACATACTTCGCTCTTGCCGACTGATAATGACTAGATCCTTGATTTATTGAACATAATCCACGGATTGAAGTGATTGCTGGCACTTCTAGAGCATTTAACAATTCAATACAGCTTAGATACAATTCCGAGCGGGATATATTGCTCCCACAGACTCCGACGTCCTCGTTCATTGTCAAGGCGGAAGTGAAGGATCAAGTCAGCGGTGAGTTATTTCATCCAGTTGAAAAGATGCGATGTGTCTGGTGGCGGAATTCCTAAAGAACCACTGTTTATGTGTTTCTTCCATGTAGTCAAACAATGACTATGGAGAAGTACTGAGAGGAACCCGGTTCAAGTCACTCAGACCTTATTGGTCAACAACCACATTCGTTATGAACTACCTTTAAAGTGACCCGCCTAACAACGAAACAACTAAGTCGAGCCATCTAATCAACGGTAGCATCCGCTAACTCCGTTCTTTTGCCGGGGTCTACAATAAGCTCAGCATAGAAATCCAAGCAATTATCTTAATCTGGCAGTCTAAAAGGCATTGGGTTTCACGAGGACAACGCTAAACCCCACGTCGCCTATCAGACACTGCAAAACGGAGGGAGTTAAAAGCGAAATGCCTCCTAATTTCCCTTCCCCGTGTCCTTTCAGATTTCCACTTAGTTCGTTCAATGAAAAATAATTTTGACAACAGACAATTTGTTTCCTTGAGAGAAGTCAAAAACCGACAAATATTTACTGTTTAGTCGCATAATTTTGATGCTTCTAATATGGGTGCGAAATTTTACATGCACTCAATAATTTATAGCCGAACACGGAATTCATTAAAAAATGCGGAAAACTTTTTAGAGGCGCCTGCTTTTACAACCACAACAGGGAGTGTACTCCATAGGAGAGCAAAAATTTTTAACCGAAGTGAGCTGGATTCTTAAATAAGGCGCTAAATTGGTGAGTGGCCTGTGTTAGCGGTGACTAATTGGCTAATTTGGATTTTTATTTTAATTCAAAGTGCCGATTCCGACGAAATAATTGGTCGGCGTTATTTAGGTGGTCAAAATTGCCACAGTAGCATTACAAGTGCGTGGGTAATTGTGTA